CTATTTTTATCTTAATAATACAGATCTCAGTAAATAGGAGGATTATTAGGATTTAGGATATACTGAATTATAAAGCAACATATTTAGGTTTATACTTTTGGGAAATTAGCAGTGAAATAATCCTGATTAAATTTCATAGTAAATCAGATGTGTATTATTTAATCTAACAACTAGTGGGAATCTGGCCCCAGAAACAAATAGTTGGAATATCTGATTTTTTTTTTTTTTTTAATTACAGCACTATGTTTAGGCAAAGAAATGGAGCATAAACATTTATGGCATTCTTAGCTAGAAGTAACATTCTAAAGTGCTATACATCGTATAGTTATAACCAGCTACTTATTCTGGCAGTCTTTTATGTCTATGGAATAGGACTGAAAGCCTCAGACTATATCTAAGTACTTTTTGGGTAATTTCCCTCTTTCCCAGCCCTTCTATATTTTCATAATGAATAGAAGATGATTATGTAAATCGCTGTTACTGCAGAAAGAGAAACTTACCTTGGATTGTGGTAACTTGCAGCCCTGGAACTTAACTTTTACTCAGCAGGAGGTGCTGGAGAGATAAAAGGATTAATAGTTTCTCTTAGTATGCTTTCGGAGAGCCTCATTACTGCTCTTTACTTTTTTTTTTTAACTGTTTATAATAGCAGTAAAAGGATAGGAATATTTAAAACAATGTCAGTGTGGGTTGCAAGAATATGGGAGAAAAAAAGAATTTGGATATTTTTGGTTGTTATTTTAGTTTTATGAAGGGGGGGACAAAATAAGTAAAACCAGTCTTAACTACACCAACAGAAAATTTCCTTAGTTGCCAGTACTATTTGTGGATATAATCTGAAACCACAAAGGTGGCATAGATGATTGTGTCTTTTCTTGCTGTTTTTGAAAGTGTGTTTCCATTTCTTATACTGTGTTCTCAAAAATAGCTGTCTAAAAATCAAAAATATAATTTTCAGGATCTAAAATGCACCCTTATGCTATGTGGATATACATTTGTTGGTATACTTATTTCTGGTCAATTCTGAAGTGGATCTTAGCTTCCCTTGGATTAGCCATAGACTTGCTTTCTTCTTCCCACGGATCTCCCTCATTTATATTCACCTGCAACCATTGGGCCCAGAAAAGTTACTAGAAGTTTGTTGAGTATGGTGGATGAAATAATTTAATATAGCTATTCCCTGGACATGATGATGGTAGAGTGCTTATTACGTGTCAGGCACTGTTTCAAGTCCTTTCTTCACAGCAAACCTATGAAATAAAACCTGTTATTCCATTCTGTGTATAAAGAAACAGTGGAATAGTGGTGAACTTGTCAAGATTGTTATTGGGTTAGGTTTATTAGCTGTATTAATTACCCATAAGGAGGGAATAATAGTATATAAAGTAAAATTGATACTAAAAAAGGAGGGTTTCTTTTTTCCCCCTCAAGGAAAAAGTACATGAATCATGGTTGTATCTGAAATGCCAAGAAAATAGAAACAACCTAGATGTTCTATTGCTAAATAGTGAACAGTTATATATACAGTATTTTATATTTATATGAGACTAAGTAATGGACTATGTTGATACCTGGAAAGATGCATTAAAAATAGTAGGTTAACTCACAGATTTATACCCACACTGACAATTATAAATGTGTATTTCTATTAATAGAACTTTGATAACCTGACAAAGGGTCAACAGAATGAGGAGTATAAAGTGACAAATGTCTTCTGAAAAGTAATGGTGGCCAGTTGGATAATGAAAACAGTAAATTTTAAGAAGACTAGGGATTACAATATAATTTTCAAAAGAAAGTGAATTTAAATTCTCTTCCAAGTGACACTCTCCAAGATGAAATATCTGTCCTGTGTTAAATGTTCCCGAAGACCTTCAGGAACACAACTAAGTGCCCTAGAAATGGAAATTTTCAAGATAAGTTGTACAGCAGCATTTTCTCAAGTACTTTTGCATAGTTGATTTTAAAGGTTAACAGGCATTACATGTAAATAAAAGGGTAGGGAAGATAATTTGGGAAATCCTAGGGTTCATAAAATTAGATTCTTTTGTGTAGTAATCATTAGCGTCTTTAATGAGCATATTCCAGGTGAGTAGAAGTGGAGGCAGAATGTGGAGTGCATCATTTCATAGACTTGTTTGCCTGAGACCATAGAACTATTTCGGTTGGTTCTTGTTACAGAAATAGCCTCTGCAAAATATACTTTGGGAAACATTGGAATGTTATTTGGAGGTGTCCGTGAGCAGGCCTCATGGATGTGTGGCTGTGGGTGGGTATGCAGCTCGAGGAGTAATACGTTAAATGTTCCACAGTCAGGGACAATGGGAAGTCTTCTGGAAGCATACATATTTTGTCTTACTTTATTTTATTTATATTTTCTCCTCTTTCCATATTTTGCTTTTCAATAAAAATTCATGAAAACAAATTCGCTAATCTAAAAGTAATCTTCGTTTTTAATATCATAAGTATGCTGTATGGGGAGAAGTCAAACTTGAGAATCTGCACTTGATTTGCTTTTAGTCTGGAAGGATAACAAATACACCATGTAGCTCTTGGCTGGTTTTAAGGAACTGGCAGAATATTATATTTGCATTTAAGTATAACCTGCCGGTATTCTCCACACTTGTCTTCCACACATTCTTTAGCACCACAACTCATGTCAACATTGCTTACAAACTGTGCAAGATGACCAGATCCAGTGGCCATTTTCTATCCTTAGTTTACTGGACCACTTTGCACCCTTGAGCTCAGTTGTCTGCTACTTCCCTGAAAACATTCTTCTCTCTCTGTTTCTGTGACATTGCACTCAGCTGTTTTCTTCCTCCTCTCTGGCTGTTACTTTTGCAGGTTCATCCTCCTCTGCTGACTTCTGAATGTTTTACACTGAGGGCTCAGTTTTGGACCTTGTTTTCTTCTTCTATGCTTTCTTCCTAGGTGATGTCCTTTAGTCTCGTGGCTCTCTCTGAATACCAACTACCTAGTGATAACTCCCAAATCTATTTTCTTCAGCCAAAAACTAACCATTGTTTTCAGGTCACAGATTAACTGCTGTACACTTAAATTTGTCTCATGTATATGTCAAGCTTAATGTCTCCAAACAAAATTTTTAGTACTCCTCTTCACTTTCCAATTTATTCATTTTAAAAAAAGTTATGCTCATTAATTTTTTTTGTATGTGTATGGGTACATAGTAGGTGTCTACATCTATGGGGTACATGAGAGACGTTGATACAGGTATACAGTACATAATAATAACATCAGGGTAAATGGGTATCTACCATGCCACTCTTTCTGTGTTAATGATACTACCATCCACCAAAAGTTTTCCTCTTCAATCTCTATTTTTTCTGCTTCAATCTACCCTGCCACCACTGTCATCCAGGCCACCAAAATCTCTAACTTGCATTACTATAATTTACTTTTGCCTGAACTCCTCTTGTTACCTCCCCTTAGTCTTTTTCTTTTATTTTTCTTTTTTGAGATGGAGTTTTACTCTTTCATCCAGACTGGAGTGCAATGGCATGATTTTGCTTATTGCAACCTCCACCTTCTGGGTTCAAGCGAGTCTCCTACCTCAGCCTCCCCAGTAGCAGGGATTACAGGCGCCTGCCACCACACCTGGCTAATTTTTGTATTTTTAGTAGAGACAGGGTTTCACCATATTGGCCAGGTTGGTCTCAAACTCCTGACCTCGTGATCCACCCATCTTGGCCTCCCAAATTGCTGGGATTACAGGCGTAAGCCACCTTGCCAGGCCCCCTTAGTCTTTTTCTATAGAGCAGTCATTTTTTTTAAAAAAATGTAAACCTAATCATGACACTCATTTTAATAATAGCTTTCCCATTATACACTGAGTTTTGAATAAAATCTATGCTGGTTATCATGGCCTTAAAGGACCTTCACAGTCTGGCTTTTTCCAGTCTTCCTTACCTTATCTTGTATCTTATCATCCCTTGCTCACTATGCTCCAGGCACACTGGCCAATTTTCATCTCCTTAAATATGCCTTCATATATACCATTGCTTTTATGGGAAGCAGCTTCCAGCTTATCCTTTGCATGGCTGGCTCTTTCTTATTGTTTAGTCCTAACTGTCATCTTAGGGAGGTCTTGACCAACTGTCCAGAGTAGGTTTATGTGCCCATTCCCTGCTTTCCTTTATTTCAGAGCACTAGTCACAATTTCTGTTTACTTACAACCCCTGAAAGCGGAAGCCATGTTTCTTTTACTTACCAATGTATGTATAATCAGTGTATAGCAAAGTGTCCCATATTTCTTTTGTTGAATGAACTCAGAAAATGAAGTGACTAGATGGATTCTGAGCTAAAACATCTCCAGAGGGTTTAGATTTGTTCTTAAAGGCATATTTTAATGTAATGTATAGGTATTATAATTAAAAGAAGACATAGCATCTAGAGAAGGCAGATGTCCTTGGTACAGTCTCCATTTAGTATCTGGTCCTTAGCTTTGATCAGGCCATTCATGCTAACTTAACTCAAAAGATACTCGCTTGTAAAAAATAGAATGCTGATTTAAAAAAAAAAATAGTCAAATGTATAACTGAGCAGGCAGGCTGTTCATGCTTGTTAATCTCTATGGGAAAACTTTTATAAGAATTGAAATACAAGCAGAAGGTGTTTGGTGAATGTGGGATCTGAGCTTTCAGAATTAAAATAATCTTATTTTCGTGGCAGGGTGAAGAAAATTTGCTAGTCTACTACATTCTGGTGCTATAAAGAAAATTTGGCTTTTAGCAAGGGTATGATAAGGAGACAGTGTGTAGGTCCAGTTATGAGTAAGTCCGTCTACATTAAGATTTAACCATCTACTTGAGGCCAAATGTATTCTCTAAGTCTAATGACAAAGAATTGACATTATTCTTTCCTTGAAGGGAACTGGTATGAGGAATTTGTAATACCTTGGGTAATACATATTAACATTTAGTGTAAGAGGATTCTGAAATGCATTGGAGTGCTGTAATAATTTTTCTTTGAACTTGCAGGTTCTCCTGAAAAGAAAGGTGAACATTCATCTATAAATCAAGAAAATGGCACTGCAAACCCTATCAAGAACAGTAAAACAAGTCCAGTATCTAAAGATCAGCGGACTGGAAAGAAAACCTCAGTACAGGGTCAAGTGCAAAAGGGGAATGATGAATCTGAAAGTGATTTTGAATCAGATCCCCCTTCTCCTAAGAGCAGTGAAGAGGAAGAGCAAGAGGATGAAGAAGTTCTTCAGGGAGAACAAGGAGATTTTAATGATGATGATACTGAACCAGAAAATCTGGGTCATAGGCCTCTCCTCATGGATTCTGAAGATGAGGAAGAAGAGGAGAAACATAGCTCTGATTCTGATTATGAGCATGCTAAAGCAAAGTACAGTGACATAAGCCCTGCCTACAGAGACAAATCTGGCAGTGGACCAACCCAAGATCTTAATACAATACTCCTCACCTCAGCCCAATTATCCTCTGATGTTGGGGTGGAGACTCCCAACCAAGAGTTCGATGTATTTGGCACCATCCCCTTCTTTGTAGTGCGTGCTCAACAGCCCCAGCAAGAAAAGCATGAAAAGAACCTTCCTCAACACAGGTTTCCTGCTGTGGGACTCGAGCAGGAAGAATTTGATGTATTCACAAAAGCGCCTTTTAGCAAGAAGGTGAATGTACAGGAATGCCATGCGGTGGGGCCTGAGTCACATACTCTCCCTGGATATCCCAAAAGCGTAGATGTTTTTGGCTCCACTCCATTTCAGCCCTTCCTCACATCAACAAGTAAAAGTGAAAGCAATGAGGACCTTTTTGGGCTTGTGCCCTTTGAGGAAATAGCAGGGAGCCAGCAGCAAAAAGTCAAACAGCGCAGCTTACAGAAACTCTCCTCTCGCCAAAGGCGCACAAAGCAGGATATGTCTAAAAGTAATGGGAAGCGGCATCATGGCACACCAACTAGCACAAAGAAGACTCTGAAGCCTACCTACCGCACTCCAGAGAGGGCTCGCAGGCACAAAAAAGTGGGTCGCCGAGACTCTCAAAGCAGCAATGAATTTTTAACCATCTCAGACTCCAAGGAGAACATTAGTGTTGCATTGACTGATGGGAAAGATAGGGGGACTGTCTTACAACCTGAGGAGAGCCTGTTGGACCCCTTTGGTGCCAAGCCCTTCCATTCTCCAGACCTGTCATGGCACCCTCCACATCAGGGCCTGAGCGACATCCGTGCTGATCACAATACCGTCCTGCCTGGGCGGCCAAGACAAAATTCACTACATGGGTCATTCCATAGTGCAGATGTATTGAAAATGGATGATTTTGGTGCCGTGCCCTTTACAGAACTTGTGGTGCAAAGCATCACTCCACATCAGTCCCAACAGTCCCAACCAGTCGAATTAGACCCATTTGGTGCTGCTCCATTTCCTTCTAAACAGTAGATACTTCTGATGGATTCTTGGCATTAACTCCTGTTTCAAAAAAGTATGAATAGTTTTATGAATTTGAAAAGAAAATTTGATAGCTCTTTATATCATTCTTAAAGATCAATCAGAATAGGTGATTTTAAAATAAACCAAATAGAAAAATGAAGTATCTCTACAGGGTAGTAACTTGATGCCTCTTCCAAGCAGGAGAAAAGGGAGCTAAATTGCAAGCTCTAATGAGTTTCTGCTATTGACATCACAACACAGAAATGCAAGTGTGGTACTTCCGGTGAAAGTACATGGCACCTTTCCAGGTGTGTAGCCACTGAGAAGGGACAGTAAAACTGTTATTTTTGATACCAGAATGTCATTTTTGTGTGCATATCCCTAAAATTAGGGTTATTTGTACATATACTAGTTATGCTTGTGAATTTTTTTTAAGGTCTCTTCTAATTTCCACACAGTTAAAATCAATCTAGTTCTCTTAAAGCATTAGAAAGTTATTATCTGGAGAGTGCAGAGATTTCAGTGCATACACCTTTCTCCACAAAGCAGAGCCAGAAGTAACTGACAATTGTGCCTAAAACTCTCATTTTTAAAAACAAGTGCCATTAATATGGAATATGTAGATAAACATGAAATAATGTGTATGTTAATTAGCTCAACTTAGCTGTTTCACAATTTACATATTTCAAAACAATGTTATACATTTTATATATATATACTATATATATATAAAATTATATATATACTATATATATATAAAATTATATATATATACTATATATATATAAAATTATATATATAGTATATATATATAATTTTATATATATATACTATATATATATAAAATTATATATATATACTATATATATATAAAATTATATATATATATGTGTGTGTGTATATATATATATATATAAAATTTTTGTCAAAACATTTTAAGAATGGACTATGGCATAGAAGCCTGGAACAAAAATATAAAGAGAAATATCTGACATTTGGAAAGAAATAAAAAATTATATAGAAGAAAAAACATTCACTACTCTAGATAAACACTTTATATTGTTTATGAAAGGCTTCTTGCTCCAAACTTTTATTATGGCCCTAATAAAGCAGATTATTGGAAAAAAATTGGGAGTAAGGAGAAAGGTTATATAAAAATTTTATTTTAGGAAAAATGTAGCGGAAACGGAATTTTCAAAACATTTACAATGTGAAATCATGTTGCATTCAATAATGTACTTTATTAGCAACTTCACCAAATATTCCCCAAGTCATAAGCAACAATTATTTTTATTAGGTTTGGGGAGTGGAATAGTTTCAATAAAGTGCACAGAATGGTGACACCCACAAAGCCTTATAGGCAGGATTCACGCATCCTGCTGCAAGTACCTCTGCCTAATAAACCAGATCCTAAAATGCATATAAGGTGGACTAGCATCTTAACTCTGCTAGTTGATTGTGTCTTTACTGAAAAGAACCCAGCTACCAATTTGCCTTTCGTTACACCACAAATCCTAATTAGAAACTTGAGATTTTGTAGAAATTATTTAATGATAGAGATTACATGTGAATTAATGTGAATATAGTATCTGTGCTTCCTGTGTCTATTACTATTTTAAGTTATAATTAACTGTGCTGCGCTATCAGATTAACATTTGGAAGTTTCTAGAACAGTTAATACTGTTTATAGAAAGACGTAGAAACTCATCAACTGGCACGCTCTTTGATTTTTATATTTTAAATTAACTCTCTTTTAATCCAATTAAAGTATATTTTATGAGTAATTTTATTAGGAATCTCTTAATTATAGTGCCCCTATGGGATAAGCTGTTTGCCTATTTTCACAGTTCTGAACTTGGAAAGAAGCAAAGTATATGTAACTAAACCACATATTTGTCTTTTTATTGCTTTTTTTCCTTCTGTTAAATGCTAAATCAAATACAAATTTGTGGATAGGGAAGCAATATGTGAATCACAATGTAGCAGAGGCAGACCAAGCAATACATTATTACTTAGAGTTATACTTTTAGAGCTGGACTGCACAAATTACTTGTCCTTGTGCCAAAGGCAAATATGTTTGCACCCTTTTTTTTTTTTTTTTTTTGATTCTCAGGTTGATGAGAATGCAAATGCTCAAGTAGATATTTAAAAACTTTACAAAATAGATTTAAGTGATACTTTCCATTAAAAGTGAGGAGTTTGTGATTACACATGTAAATTCATGAACTACAGTAGGTTTGTATCAAACAGAATAATTTTTTAAAATGAAAATCTGTTGAGGTGTACACACTATGCTTCTTGATTGTATTAGTCCTTGGTCTGTGCTAGATCGCATGAGTTTCATCACTTAGAAAAGGGGTAAAAGATAAACTAATGTGGTCTCCTTCAAATGTAAACAGGAAATACATATATTTTTACTCGCTTTTCAATACACTGAATAATTTTAAATGATTCAGACATTGATGTAGACGCTTTGGCTTATAATGTTGAATAAATTCTGAGGAAACAACTCCGACAGCTTAAAATATTTACATTCTTATAACACAGCACAGTGACTTTCTTCTTTCAAGATTGTAGCTCAGAGAAAAGATACAGGATTAAATTGGGGGTTCAATGGGATAGAAATGGAGAGATTCCTTTGTGTTGAAGTAGAGGCATTTAACTAAGGAGTATAGATTTATACTTTGCATTTCCATTCATCATCCCCCAGAATCATGGTCATGGTGTAGGTCACTCCACACAGCTGATGCTCAGGTCATTCCCTTATGAGAAGAAAACTCCCAAGGTATGTGAAAGTGCTTAACACCTGGCACACAGCACTCAGTAAAAGTTTGGCTCTACTATGGGATGGTTCAATTTTGGTTTAAGGAAGGAAGGTTATATATATACCACTAAGCAAATATATATATATATATATATATGGTTTTTTTTTTCTAATATTATTTGGTGTCCCCTGTGCTTCTTTAGGATGTAGTTATAACTCTAAACCTGTTATACTTGAACATCACTAAGAGAAGTAAATTATTATGAAGCTAGCAAAACTCTGAGGCCAAAGTTGTTTCCTAACAGCTTTAATAATGCTTGTTGATTTTGAATAATCCTTTAAAAAGTGGACCACTTGCTTATTTTAATATCACATCAGTAAAATGTTAGTATTAAAAAGATCAGCTTTTTATGGCATTGAAGAATGTATCTGCTAAGACACAAAATTGCATGGTAAGTTTATTAGGTGGAGGAGAAAAGCTTGTAGGCCAGATGAAAATTTAACTGACTAGAATATTTATTCAGGAGTGTACTTATCTTCCCCTACCCCAATCCCTGTGTATGTGTGTATTATGACATTATCTGGATTTGCAGACACAGCTTTTAATCCCACCCTGTTTATTGTTTAAGAATGATAAACCGTTGTCCTCTTCTTGCTAGTGGAAAATCTAAGGTGGAGCTTACTTTTCTATGCTGAAGTTCACCAGGCAGAACGGTTTTGTTTCAAGTCAGCTACTCTGCTTGGTTTACTTTAGGTTTTGGTACTTCACATAAGCACTGTTAGAAGGTACAAGTGTATTAATATCACTAGTTTTGATGAGCTTGGGTACATTTGTGTTTAACATATTTAGAATGTGCAGAAAACTTTTTTCTCTCTCTTTTTTTCTTTTTGGCAAACCTATTATCATTTTAGGTCCAGTTATTGAGTTGACAGTCTACTGTGAGAATGAGATGACATACCTACTGTGAGAATAACATAAATGATGAATAGTTTGACAACTTTTATACTCAGTCGTGTTTTATACATGAAGATAAAAATATGTATACACACATGCCTGTCACATCTCTCTACTGTGGATTTAATGTGAATTTTTAAAAAATGGAATTGCAACCACAATCATATCTAAGAGAACATTCACTCCTAGTGAGGGTTTACAAAAGCTACTAAAAGAATAAGGTAGATGATAATGCAAAGGGTCATGATTTGGGGTTATTTTGTTTTATTTTAAAATTTATAGTGCTACTTTTGAAAGAATTGTTTTTATTACTATGCTGTTTTTATGATTGAAAAGTCATCTAATAGAAGCTGTATAGAAGCTACTTTTTAATTGCTGGCGAACAGCTTTAAGTGCACTTTCTTTGATTACACTTCCATTTTTTTGTTAAACTTGAATTTTCTGAAGCCTTTTATGTACCACTAAGCAAATAACTTTAACCTTTAAATAAATCAAATTTACATCTTTATTGTATTTCTACTTGTTACAAAACATACTGGCTAAAGTAACTTCAGTTCTCAAACATAGCTGGGAAACAGTTATGAGATAGACTCAGTCTCCCCTTCCCAGGCCCCCCCACCCTGCCCTAATTAAGCACTAACTGATTTTCTTACTTTATTGCCTTTACATTGCTTATTCTTTTTGACTGAATTCTGTCCCCGATTCACTATGTTTTGTTTGAAATTTAAAGTTATTTTCTTACTGTATTTATCATACCTGTTTTAATAATCTGTTTTCTTTAAATGCAATAAATCCCAAATGGATTGCATATTCTTTATAATCAGTGACTTTGGAGTTTCTCATTATTTGTCTTATTACAAGTTTTGGATGTAAACTTCTATTTAGATTCAGTTCTTTCATTCCCACCACAAACATTAAGCTCCTATTATGTAGCAGCTAGTGGAATAGAAAAATTGGTGAGATTCTTTCCCTATTCTTAGGGAGCTCACATTTTACAGTTTAGGTAAGAAAACACATTTGACTTAAAGTTTTTGCAAGAACACTGTATAGCATGACTTTTTCAGTCAGTCACTATAATTACTGATTGATGACAGTAAAGCAAAAATATTGTGTAGTGCCTTCTGAGTAACTTGTTTTGCAGCTTCCACATTATACATAATTTATTTTTAAAAATCTTTAAAGACTGATAATATCTTTGGTTGAATAAAATACTGGTTATTTGGTTAGGTAACACTGTAATCCTTAATTATATCAGCAAAGAGGCTATGACACATTAAAGAGAAAACCTATTTATTGGATTGATGGACTAAGCTTGGCATTATGGTTATAATATTATGTATGATTCCACAAACTAGAGTGTTTAGATTGGTGGACTGTGAAAAGATTCATCTTATTTTTATGAGTGACCTTTTTTTTTTTGAAGTTGTAACATTCATCTAAAGTTATGTGAAAAAAAAAAAAGGACTTTTTAGTGAGTGGTACAAAGCAGCAAAAATAACACAAATGATTAGAAAAGTTCTATTAACGAATAGTTTGCAGTGTGTTACTGTTCAAATTTAGTTACAGTTAACTTATTTGAGATGAATATATGCTGCAATTTGAGCTATTTATTTTGGATAATTAATANTTTAAAGATGGGGGTTTCACCATGATGGCCAGGCTGGTTTTGAACTACTGACCTCAGGTGATCCACCCACCTCAGCCTCCCAAAGTGCTAGGATTACAGGGGTGAGCCACCAAGCCCGGCCCAATTAATACCTTTTTAAGGAAGCCCAGCTTAAGCATCATATGTAACATGTAGTTAATATTCTCATTGAAAGTTTGAGCTTTTGTTGTCACATATTAAAAAAGATAGTTCAGATAGTTGCCACAACTGAGGTTACATGCATGTTAGGTAGTATTTTGATCTCAGATTTTACAGAGCAGTACTAGAACCTTGGCAGCTGTTCATTTCAGCTCTCTTAAA